ATATTCATGATCCTCGTAGATTCGTTCTGGAAAATTATTGAATTTTTAATTACCATATAATTTATGGTAGGCAAAAGTGGGCAATACTTGAAATAGGCGAATAATTCAATAACTGGAAAATTTGAAAAATTAAAAAAAAAAACAGGCTTGAGGAGTTTTATGAAAATCCCGGAGCTTTTTCGATAATAGAATTTCGAAAACTACTTTAAATTTTTTCACAAGATAACTGCCAAAAGAAAACTCATTAATCCGTGGAAACATGAGAAACACTTAATAAAAGAATTGAAAAACAGTAAATCAAATGTTTCAAGCATCATCCTCTGTTGATCATTGTATACACGTTACTCTTTTGTCTGTCAGAAAACTTTTATTGGTAGCTAGTCTCGCAATTTGAACCAAATAAAGGTAGTTTTTTTTTCCTTTTTTGCGCTAATATACGACAGTGTTCATTAAATAAGCGGTAGGTACAGAATTTAGGTACGCAGTTAGTATCGACGGGCGTGAAGGAGCTACGATCGGTACCTGGGAGCATCCCAGCAACAGCATTAAGGTGGAATACTTACAATGTTGTCTGCATGGTTTTGATATTTTAGGCAATACGCAGTAGTTTTTGCTTTTCGGGTGTGACAACGGCAGTTATATTTTAAATGATTCGAGTTATTTATATTTACAGTTATACTTATATTTACATTTACAGTTAGATTTAGTTATATTCATATTTACAGTTATATTTGTATTTACAGTTATATTTAAACTCTATCAAAATGTGTTTAAAGAAACTGAGCTGATAACTGAACAAGGCAAAAAACCCACAAAAAACAATTTTTTTTTTAAATAAGACAAGAGCTTTATACCGAGACGAAGTCAAGTGCAAGGCCTGGCTAAGCTGGGCATTTTTTTTTTCGTGACTACAGAAACAAGTGAACGTACTGATGTAAAGTTCAGGATACTCCTCGACAATAGTATGATGTTCGCTGAGCGGAACATTGAGTTTGGCTGCAATCCGTCGAATACATTCGGCCACCGTCCACCTTTCATCGACAAGCAACGAAACAGTTGATGAACCGTCATCCACAAAAAATTTCACGTAAATTTTCTTGATATCTGCTTCACGCATCTTCTCCAGGGCTTCTCGAATTTTCGCTGCTTTTTCCTCATTAGCTGTGAGCGGTCGAACCGGCGGCTGCTGGTGCTGCTGCTGCGCCGCTGGCTCTGATGTGGACGACGCTGACGATGACTGGTTTGGTGATACCTAAAAATGGAAGACACTGATAAATCAACTGCTTATTACAGACATCTGAAAGCCTGTTTTCACTTTTTTTTGCCGAAATCCTATTTCCAGTGCTTCGAGACACTCGCAAAGCAAGGCCAAATGTAAAGGGATAAGTTCCCTTTTTTACTGTTTTTATTTTTGTACTTTGGCCAGCTGCCAATTCTTAGCATGCTTCTCCAGCTATGCAGCTCGCAGCTCTTGCGGTCATTTTGACCAGTGCTTCTTCACCTGCTGGTTAACCCTATGCTTACAATTCTGAGGTTCGTTTTGTCCCTTGAAGGAATTATTAACCGATAGAGCAGGCGCTTTGTCAAAACAACTTTAGTCTTTTCATTATGTCACTAGCAAGTACGACCGCTTCGTTTCGAACGACTAAATGGAAACTATTGTTCTCAACTAATATTCTGCAGTGCATAAATCACTACAACCCGCCAACCAAAAATACAGGATCGAACCACTGTGAGTATCCCATATTAGTGATGTTACTGGAATGTTGTCACAAGCCGGATCAAATCAGTCATTTCTTACAAAACTAAAGAAATTTCAAAGGTCACATCAAACTTAAAATATCTTCAGAAAGATGGAAGTGCCACAGATGAAAAGTATCCATTTTGGCTAATGCCCTTGTTGTTGACTGGAAGAGCCAAATGTGAAGATCGACTTC